CATTTGGCTGGCATCATACTTTGTAATGCCATGGAGGAAGCTGGTGTCGTTGCAAACGAGGACGCTTTGCTCCTTTTTTTTCTCATTATCAGACCATACGTTATACGTTGTAACTTGACACTGGATGGTATTTTACAGTCAAAGCAGTTTCTTCTAGACCGACATTATGAAATAGATGTGGATTACGTCGAGGAGAATAGAACGATGATTTTATTGACTTACCTATTTAGCCATTCATTTTTTGCCCTTGACTAAAGTCCATTTTAAAAAAGAATTCATTGTAATGTAGTAGTTTTCTAATTGTGTCTTAGTTAGACTTTGATGGATTGAATTGTTGTGTAGTTGATCAGAAAATGAGAAATGGATCTATTGGATTTCCAATTCAAGACTAACCTGCCATTGTATTTTATAGAACAATATGAAGCTTTCGTCAAATTCACCAATGATCATATACGCAAGCAACTCAGTAATGCGCCCATGTCATGTAAGTATAAACACTAACCCATAGCGACGACTGTTTCACCACGGAAACTTGCCTTGATTGATTTTAGAATCGGTTGCAAATGCGGTCTGTTGTAAAACAGTAGTTATAGCAGATAGCGAATCCATTATTTCCTTATAACGGTTTCAAGAAGAAATGAATGAACGATAGATTTGATAAATATCTTTCTGCTATGAACAGTACTTAGTATTAGGCTCTGTGTTGAGTAAAGAATGTAACTCCAGTATTTGCCGTGGCAATTTATCTTTTCTATGGTACAGTATTAGAACGGCCAATACACAAACACTTGCATTTCTTGTCAAGCAATATTAAAAAGGCTTTAGAAAAATAAGTAGACCATCTGTAGTGTACAACATAAAATAGAATGATAGAGATTCAGTAGAAAAGTTATAGATAGGATTGGATACCAGTTCTTATATCCTTTACATGCTCTTTCATCAATTAATGATATTATGATATATACCAACCGTACACTACTGGTAGCACAAAGTAGAGGGATAACGAAATTTTAAACTTTAATTATACACCAACTCTACTCTTCAACGCAAAGTAGAATGATCAGGAAACCCTAACCTTAATTATGCAACAAAAGTATAGCGATAAGGAGATGGGCGAGAATAACAAATAGAACATCAGATGCAAATAACTTAACCATAAACATGTTATTCGGATTATCACACTACACAATTTAATGTTCTTTTCACTTAGACCATTCTTTTTTAATCTCCTTTTAGACATTTCTTAAGGTATGTAGGTAGCTACATTGGATTGGCGATTCATATTTTAGAAAGTATGAGTACCACTTGATTGATTGGCTAATTCCAATTTAAAAAATTCGACGGAGGATCGTGGATGGCCAGTCTATTATTGTACATTATTTCTTGATGATGTACAGTTGGATTCCCTATGGTCGTAATACTGTACTCATTGTACATTACATGTGATAAAGTTTTCAATCTCGTTTATTTAACTTGTTATTAATGGATGTTTGTGTCTGGTATTCATGTATAAATAATC